AGGAGGAGTCGACGAAGAACTCTTAGGAACCCTAATTCGAAACTAAAGAATTATCGTGAGCGAAATGGAAGAACAAAGAAAGGAAGAAAGGGAATGCGATTGATTTTAAGAAGCCTCGAGAGGGAAGAACGATTGCGAAATTTTGAGAGGAGGAAGGGAGTGGGAAATTTGGGAGGGGAGAACAAAAGTCGAAAATTTTGGAGGCACACATGTTTTTGGAATTGGGGAAAAGATAATTACGTGTAAAATATAAAGAGGGAAGAGATATAAAAAAGTTGGAAAGGAAAAAAAAAGTTTTATAATTGAAGATGTTATAAACCTCCTAAATAAGAAATTAAAACCGCCACAATTATTGTCATTTACACTGTTAAGCATAATCATTTCAAATCATGTCAATTTGCGGAGGTTTTTTGTAACCTCCGAAAAAAAACCTCTACTATATATCATTTTTTTTGTAGTGAGGTGAAAATACAATTATACCTTCGTTACATATAATACTTTATTCACGTGCATGGTTTGTGAATGCATATTTTGGATTTTTAGTAGCTTTAAGTAGTGTGAGATTCATGAAGATACAACAAAGATTGACTTTCAGATTAGTTATTTCCCTCTGTGTGTGTGGTGCATGGTTCATGATTAATAACCCTCAATTGGATGATATGTGGTGACTTCCAATTCTGGTTGGAGATCAAATAAGGAGGAACATTCTAGAAAAGGGAATCGATTTTCATACAAGCTGGAACCGATTCCATGGTAAATGCAAAGGATTAGGAATCGATTCCATAGATATGAAGAAAGAGTTAGAAACGATTCCAACATGCTTAGAATTGGATAAGCTACGCGTATAACCGATTTTGACATTGGGTTTGTGTGTTGCAGATTGTAACAATGTTATATTAAAATTTAAGATCAATACAAGAGAAAAGAAAATAAAAACAAGGAGCAGTCGGTCACCATATTTATGAGTTGTTTTGTTGAGCTCGATTAACATTTATTGAACTCGACAAGGACGTCGATAAGCTTGGTCAAATGTCATTAAGTTAGACAAAGACATTATGGTGCTCAACTAAACGTGATTATGACGACTTAGTGGTTATAGTAGTGAAACTTTGATGGCTGTGGGAAAATGTAATTGTTCTTGGTAACTTTAGTATTCATTATTTTGGTTTTAGTCGGTCGAATGAAATTGAATCAAATGCATTATAAACACTAGACATACAGAGAAAAAGACTTTAAAATGCATGCACACGGTAAAATAATTAGTTTATTATTTAATTTATGGGTTAAGATATGTAAACAATAATTTATAGCATTCTGATTGAGGACTTTTGTTTATTTAATTTAGTAGTTTAATTATCTTGTGATACAAATAATAATTTAATTATAATCTTATCAAATAATACATTCACATTTAATACTTATAATCATTAATAATAATAAATAATAATATATTAATTTTTGTTATAGGAATAAAATAATAATCTTATATTTTAATCTATTAAAATACTTTTCAATCTATAATATCAATTATATCACTTAAAAACTTTACTTTTAAATTTATTCGCTTTTACTTCCAAATCTCTTAAAAATAAACATAAACTATACCTTCATATCTATTTATATCTATTTATTCACCACAAGTTCATCTTTAGAAATAAACGCAACCTAAATCTTATATAAAAATAAAGAAGTTAAATACTATATAGAAGAAAAATTATAAAATCCATATAATTGAAATGATATAAATTTGTTAAACTGATGTCTGGTTAGTGTTATTTTTAATAATCATATTTTGAAAACCACGGTTGATTGTGATAATCTAAAACTTGTCTATAGTATTGAGGAAGAAGATTTAGAAAAGAAAACATATTAAAGTCAATTGTGAAAAATTTAATAGTTACAATTACAATCTATTTTTAAAGTATATTATAAATGCATTTAAAATTTATTATTAATTATTGTTTTTTTTAATCAAAGTCTAACATTACATTTTACCTTCTAAATTATTAGTGTTTAACAACCAACATTTAGCATTGCACACCACTATATCAATCCAATAAAAACCAATATTAACAGGGAAATCACAAAAAATTAATACTGCACTTACATAATGAAAGTTACATTGGTTCGATTAACTATTGGATTTTCATATTTAAAACTCAATCAAATTGAATGAAAATAAAAACATACCTCACTTACAAGGAAAGGTGTTCGTATCCCATGTTTGATTGCACTTATATATTGGTTTTCTTATTTCCATTCTCAAATACATTTTAACATGAAAAAAAAGCTTAATAAAAGTGTGCTATTGAAGATAAATTCAAAAAATAAGTTATCTTAAATATTTACAATTAGTATCTTGCAAACTATCGACAGTAAACATAAATATAATATAATCATATTCACTTTTAAATAAAAGGAAAACTGAACTGAAAAAAAAATTATAATAAATAAACTATAAATATTGAAAATAAAAAAACTATAAATATTGAAAATAAAAAAACTTATTCAACTTTTAAAGAAGAAAGCATTGGGCGCAGAAGATGATTTAATTAGTCAAACCAACAATCTGATAATGAGGGAAAATTTAGCCATAGGGAGAATTAAACAAAAGTTGCAGATGCAATTATAATAGTAATAGTTAAGAAACAAAAAATAATGATGAAATCAGGTGAATTCCAGCTTGCTAAGAAGCAGGAGATAAACAAGGGCTAGTTAGACTTTTAAAACGGTGAAATAAGTCGTGCTTCCTTTTCTGATGGATCTTCTTCAATGACTCAGAAAAAGAACCCTCAAAATAAACACCTTAAATTACTTTTTTAAGCCTCACATTGTTTTAATAGAATGCGAAAATGAAGAGAGAATCAACATGGGCACTCTATTTTCTTCTGCTCTTACTCACATCCATATTCTTCTTCAATTTCGTATACCCTTTTGATCGACAATTTCTTTCTCGTCTTGCTTTTTTGTCATCATTATCATCATCATCATATTTCGCTACAAAGAAATCGCCGTTCATCGGAGTCTGTGATTACTCCAGAGGGCACTGGGTTTGGGATGAAACCTACCCACTTCGGTTATACGATGAAAACTGTCCCTTTCTTGATCCAGGATTCCGGTGCCACCAAAACGGACGCAAAAATGAAAGCTTTCGCAAATGGCGATGGCAACCTGATGACTGTGATATTCCCCGGTATGTCATATACGTGGGCATTATGTCATGCACATTGAATGCTACTTTTTGCATGCATCCATGCAGGGCTATGTATGTGTTATCATTCTTTATCAGTTTTCCAGAGACTCTTTCTTTGTATGTGTTTTTGGATATTTTTTTTCATTCTCCATTGATATTTTCCAACATACAACACTTGACCAATTAATTCCCACAATCGTGAACTTTTATCCCAATAAGAAAGTGGGTTCCAAACCGAATTTCGAAGACATTTTTCCCTTTTCTTTTCTTTCTACTCATGAAAAAGTTGGATCTTTCCAAACCCAATTTCTCAGTATAATAGGGGGTCCTTGTCAACTAATCGAACGGTAAAGTATGATATAGGTCTGTAATTTGATTAGTCAAAACAACCACATAATCACATTAAAAATGTAATTATAAGTCGCATGTAGCTTTTTGATGTTCAACTATATAGTTAAAATAGGCGTACCGTTCAGAGAAGGGTTTGGTTGGAAATAGTTAAAATAGGTGTACGGTTCACAGTGCTGAAATAATACAAAAAAGGGTTAAAATACAACGGTTGAACACGAACATGTCGCATTAATTAAAGTTTTGAAAGTTGATAGACATAATTAAGATTTTGTTGGAAGCATATTAACAATGGAGTGAAACTAAGTGTAGCAATAGCAGTTTTGTTTGAATTTGTGTGGTGCTTGTTGGTAAAAGTGACGAGTGGCTGAAAGCAAGTTGTATTGATGGCGTATGGTGATGAAGCTCAGATTCAATGCGAGTGTGGTGCTAGAGAGAAATCGCAATGGACGCATTGTGTTTGCGGGTGATTCTGTGGGAAGAAACCAGTGGGAGTCTTTCCTGTGCATGCTGACAAAAGGAGTTTCTAACCTCTCCAGAATACATGAAGTGAATGGAAATCCCATAAGCAAACACAAAGGGTATCTGGCCATGAGGTTTCAGGAATACAACTTGACAGTAGAATACTACAGAACACCCTTCTTGTGTGTTATAGGTCGTCCACCCATCAACTCATCCAATCATATAAGAAGAACTATCAGGCTTGACGAGTTGCACTGGTATTCCAAACAATGGGTTGGAGCTGATATTCTTATTTTCAATTCCGGACACTGGTGGAACCCAGACAAAACTATCAAGTCGTAGGTCAACCGCAACTATTTCTTTAATAAAGTTAGTCTTGCCAATTTTCTTATCAACTTTCGGACTTATTTCAAAGAGCCTTTTTCTTTCTGAAAAAAAAAACTATTAACTTTTTCTAAAATTATTTTAATTGTTACTTGCTAAATAATATAAAAATAAAGATACTTTAGAATCGAAAATTACAGTCTTACAAGCTCCTTAACATTTTGCAGGGGCAACTACTTCCAGGAAGGAGGGAGGGTAAGGATGATGAACGTGAAAGAAGCATTTTTGAGATCCTTACAGACGTGGAAATCATGGGCATTAAACAATCTAGATCCTAGGAGTTTCGTCTTCTTTCGTAGCTTCTCCCCCGTCCACTTCAGGCAAGTGCATTGACTTGTTTTTTCTGGGCCTGACACTTAAACAAACAACCTTCAAGACAATCTTTGATACGAAATGCCCGAATCACCCTGCAGAAGTTAGTTTTCAAGGGTATAGAGTCGATTTAATTTACCGATATGTCTGTTTGTCAATAATTTTTCATATGAACAAAAAAGATAGATTCGAACTAGTAAGTCAAGTTTGATAGATCAGCATAGTAAAACTCTTTGTTCACAATAGATTAATCGGTAAGAGCATGTTTCATGTAACATGGCATTAATCATTTTAGCCAAACAGTTAATTAACTCAGTTCATAACTATTGCTCAAGTTTACTCATTCAATAATTTTTAGTAAAATAATAGGAAAGAGAATAAAATTAGAGATGATAAATGTGTTTGTTTTCTTCAATTCAAATGTACAAAATTGTAACAAAGCTTCGGAACCTGTGCACCTTGATTACAACGTGTATCCAAACATTCGCAATTAAACTATATAACTAGAAGTTTGACATCAATTATGAGAAATCAGATTTCCCGATTCACCCACTTCCCCCCTTTTTTCCTTCAACAACCAATGTTCAGAAATTTGTTATTGTAAATCTAAAATATATGTATTTGGGGGAGGGAGTTTGGTATGACATGGGCACTGATACAAGCCTTAAATTTTGGACAAGTCTTTACTAAACACTGAAACTGCAGGAATGGCACATGGAATGATGGAGGACAGTGTGACAAACAAACAGAGCCAGAAAATGACCCTACAAAACTTGAAACAGAACCATATCATAACATATTTATATCTGGTGTTGTCAAACAGATGCAATATGAGAGCCGGAAAGCCCAATTTTTGAACATCACATATCTTTCAGAGTTGAGGAAAGATGGTCACCCTTCCAAGTTTCGGGAACCAGGCACTCCACCTAATGCCCCACAGGATTGTAGCCACTGGTGCTTACCAGGAGTGCCAGACACGTGGAATGAACTTCTCTATGCCCAACTCCTGTCTGAGAAATTTGGCATGAACAAAAAATTTCCAGAAAGAGGATAACAAAGCAGTCCGATTTTCATCAGATCACAAAGAATAGTTTTGCTAGCTATACACAAATCGGCCTTGCTTCTCATCATTTATCTTCATCCACTTCCTCATCTGAGCTTATATCATCGACTGCCATTTGCTTTACTTTCTCTAGCTGCCTCAAGAGATCTAACCTTTCTGGTGCATAAGTGGTTGGAATCTGCAAGAAAGAACGCATAGTAAATTCTCTCAGCGTGATTATTATTGGAGAAATGATGTTTGAATAGGAGATTGAAAAAAATGCAGCCGCAAGTCATAGTATGCATACTAGAGCTGGTACATATCTCTGAATAGCAGCCAACATTGCAGCATGCCCCACGGCAGTAACCTGTGCAAAATAAGCATTTCGTCTTAGTAGGTTACACTGGACCATTACACAAAGGAAAGGACCAGATCTAATGTTGGCAAATGATAATTTACCACTCACACATAAAATAGCAATAGGTTTTTAATCTTCCATCTTTTCTGCATCTTCTATAAGCAGTCGTTCTTCATCTTATTTTCCAGTTCAATATTTATAGACGGGAGAGTTAAAGGAGTAAAACGAAGCCCATGCCAAGTTTGGCAGGCTCAGTCTCAGGAAAAAAAAATGGTAGAATCTGTCGATTAGACAGGATCAATAATTAAGTTTATACAAAGATTAATAGGACATGTACACGGAGAAAAGTTATTCTACCCCAAATTGGAGCTATTTACTATTTCAATACTCCTCAAGTTGATGAGCTGATGACAGTCCTTACCAGCGCAGGTTGCTGAAATCACTCTATAGGTAAGCTCTTATAAAGAAAATGTCAAGCAATGGTTTGCCATAAGGAGGTTAAGAGAATATACAGACCCACCGCAAAAAGTTTCCTCCATTAAGGGAGTACATTTGGTTAAGAATTGGAAGAATATTAGGGTTCAAAGATGCTGACGAAGAGATTATATGAAGGGCCGAAGGTACCAACCAATTGGTGGCAGATTGCACTCGGTGAAGCAATAAGAAAAGGGGTGCACTGAAGGTGCCAAATACTGGTACGACAGCAGCAGATAGAGAGCATAACAGGTGGAAAAAGCAGTGATGGAGGCAACAACGAAGGCATCTTTCTTTTTTTTGCAGAAGCAAATCCTCCTCCAAAACAAATAAATATTGGGAACTATGATATCATGAAGTATGATGATAACGCAATATATTCTAATAATTATAGATACTATCGGGATATATGGAGGAAAGAGAAAAGATATTTTATGCTAAATTATACCTATTTTTATTTACAAACAGCAATGTCATTCATACACAAAAGAAACCTGGCAGTCTGAATGGAAAAACGAGAAAATCTAGCAATATGTTTTGAACACACTATTATTAGCCGAAATTTATTGGAAACTATAAATTTGGGTTGGCCTCACTTCTCATTTAACGAGCCTCTGTTAATTTTGTAGTTTTCAATAACTTTTAACCAATAATAGACAGTGTTAGAAAGAGTGCGTTGCTAGCAATCCTCTTCAAAATAAACTAAGGGAATTCTCCCTTGAATACAATGCCTAACTTGCAGGCTTGGAGGTTCTACAACTTCTACGACTTGAATATTGATGTAACTAGCTAACTAAATAATGGATATTTATTAAAGCTTTCATCTAATAGCATAACTTTTTGTAGTTACTCCTTGACATTAAAAATTTTAGCTTCTTTAATCCAGTGTTATTGGGTTTAATCTTTGTTACTCACATTGATCTTAAAAAGAAAAGGAGTTTTAATATTAGTATGGTACAGACGGGCTTGCGAATTCTCCATTTTCGCTTGCGTCAGGGGGTGCATCCAAGGTGTAAAACAGACTTGACTAATTAAGAGTTCTACGTTCTTTGTTGCACATTATAAAAAAAGGCTGAACAATATCCATAAGCTAAAACACTTGCATGAGGAGAACAATATGCTTCTCCTTGCTGAACAAGAAACGATTGAGATTAGAAAATGAGAATAATAGTGGGTTCAACTCACTGGAAGAAGCATTAAAACACCAATAGGAATAACCGAAGCCATGTCAGTCAAGGTTCTTTTAAGTGTTTTCTTCTCCTTCTCAGTCAATTCGTCCCCTATAAGTGCCCTTCTAACTAAACCCGTGGCAGCAGCAACATCAATAGCAAGAAGCTGAGTTCCTTGCCAGACATCCTGCTAATTGAATAATAGATTTCAGATCTCAGAAGTTTATAAAGACATAACAGATTACTTAATTCAAAATTTCAACATGGGAGACATTGTCACTATTTTCAGAGGCACAAATGCATATTGTGCCCACCAGTTTTTTAGTCTTTACAGAAAAAACAGGGTACAAAGATAATCCTTCCAAGAAAGAAAAGCCAGGAGGCTAAATCATACCGTTCCTGTTTCTTTTAGTCTGCCAATAGATTTTTCCAGGATATTTTCTTTCTTCTCAACCCTGGCCAACTTAACCCCAGCCTCATCAGTATAACGAGCACCATCATCAATAACTAGTAAATCCTGTAAAAGTGACATTCAATGCGCAATCTAAATCTAACAGAACAGTCAAGGTAAAAATCTTAGTGGAAAGAACATACAGACAGTAGAAATGATCAATGATATCACGGACCTTTAAAATCCGTGAATATGGAACAAAGTGATAGGCCAAAATCAGCTTTAGGCAATTATAGTTGTATATTAAGGATTTATTAGTGTGAAAGATGACGATGATGCATATGGTTGAGAATATGAAGATAGTGATGTAATGTTAATGAATCAGAGTAAGGATAGACTTGATGTTTGTTTTGTTTTAATTATGTCTTTATTAGGTTTGTGGGCTTGGTGTTGTCTTTCCTGCTGGCTGAGCTCCTACCCGACAGACTAAAGCTTCTACCCAATAGAACGCTCATACCTGGCAGGCCGAGCTTCTACCCGGTTGACTAAGCTTCTACCAGGCAGGCCAAGCTTCAACCTGGCAGCACACAGTTTTATGTCTTATGATAAATCTGAATCCTGTCTTGTTGTGTTAATGGCAAAAATTATGCTGCTTGGGAATTTCAATGTAAGCTCTCTGTCAAAGAAAAAAAATTATGGGGTCATATTGATGACCGTGTTCCAAGACCTATCAATGCAACGGATTTAGCAAAATGGGAAACCATAGATGCCCAAATCATGACCTGCATTCTTAGCTCAATTGAGCCTCCATTAATTCTTAATCTTAGGCTTTACAACACTGCTAAGGACACGTGTGATTATTTGAAAAAGGTTTATAATCAAACCAATGCTGCTCGGAGTCGTCGCATCTTTATCACCATGGATGTCACCTTTTATGAAACACAATCCTTTCATGTAGTCCACCACTTCAGGGGGAGAAAACCCTTGAAGTGGATAAACTCTCCTTCTTGTCATTACCATGTTTGCCTTTCCAGGATGCCCAAAATCTGAGCAATGAAGCTAACATAGTCCATAGTGAGGAAGAAGAGAAAGAAGACAATTATTTTGGCAAAAAATATGAAAGAAAACAACCTACTTCGACTCTCGAGCAAGAAAATTTGTCTAATCCGGAAGATTCCTGAAGATAACAATGAGGAGGTAAGTATTAATGAGAATTTACCCATTGCATTGAGAAAGGAAAGAAGATCATGTGCTAAATATCCTATTTCTCAGTATGTTTGCACTAACAATCTCTCTAATAAGCATAGAAGCTTTGTTGCTGCCATTGATGCCACAAAAATTCCTACCTCAGCCCAGGTGACTATCAAACTTGAACATTGGAATCAAGCCATGAAAGAATAGAAGAATGCTTTAGAAAGAAATTCAACTTGGGAAATTGTTGATAAGCCAAGAGACAAGAAGATTGGAGGATGTAGATGGATATTCACAGTGAAACATAAGGCAAATAGGACAATAGAAAGATATAAAGCTAGATAGGTGACAAAAGGATATACCAAAACTTATGGGATTGACTATGAGGAGACGTTTGCCCTAGTAGCAAAGATGAATACAATTCGAGTTATTCTAGCTTTGGCTGGTCATGTTTTTTGGGACTTACACTAGTTGGATGTGAAGAATGCCTTTCTTCATGGAAATCTAAAGAGGAAATGTATATGGAGATTCCCCTTAGGTTTTGAAGTGAAAAATAAAAAAATTAAGGTATGCCTCCTAAAGAAAGCATTGTATGGTCTTAAGCAATCCCCTAGAGCATGGTTTAGAAGATTTACAAAAGCAATGGTTTCCTTGGGATACAAACAAAGCCAACAAGATCAAACTCTATTCATAAAGCACTCTTCTACCAGTAAACTCACTCTATTGCTTGTCTATGTAGATGATATCATTATTGCAGGAGATGATGAATAAGAAAAATTGGCGCGAAAAGAAAAATTGGCAGACCAATTTGAAATGAAAGACCTAGGCAAACTGAAATATTTTCTTGGAATAGAGGTTGCATACTCCAAGAACGGAATTTTCATCTCCCAAAGAAAATATGTACTTGATCTCCTCAAAGAAACAGGAAAGTTGGGATGTAGAACCTCCAACAGTTCCTATAGAACAAAATCATTGGAAGTGAAGAAAGTGCTCCTGTAGAGAAGGCCCAATATCAGAGATTGGTAAGAAAATTGATTTATCTATCACACACAAGACCAAACATTGCTTATACAGTGAGTGTAGTGATGCTGACTATGCATGTTCTATACTGACAAAAAATTACTTCTGGGTTGTGTGTTTCTTGAAGATAGTCTGGTAATATGGAGGAGCAAAAAGCAAGATAGAGTATCTCGTTCTAGTGCAAAAGTTGAATTCCGAACTCTTGCTCAAGGAATGTGTGAAGGACTTGGAAGAAAACCATTTTGGATGATCTTAAAGTTAAGGTGGACAACCCTATGCAACTACACTGTGACAATAACTCTATTATGAGCATTGGCCATAATCCAGTATAACATGATAGGATCAAACACATTGAGATTGAAAGAGAATTCATCAAAGACTGAGGTTCTGTGATTACAACTCATGTTCCTACAGAACTTCAAATAGCAAGTATTTTTACAAAAGGGCTCCCTCTAGGTAGATTTCAAGATCTTGTAGGCAAGTTGGAAATGATTGATATTCATTTACCAACTTGAGGGAGAGTGTTGTAATTAGAGGAAATATCTATAGAATATTTTTAATTAGAGAAAATATCTATAGAATCTTCCTAATTAGAGAAAATATTTGTAGCATCTTCTAGATTATTTTTTTCCGTAAATTATTCCTTATTTCCCTTTATTAGAAGATTAGATTGTTACAAATAGAGGTAGGGAGAATGTAATTGATATGAATGAAAATAATAAAGTCACTCTTTTTCAGGTGTTTCATATCAAGACCAGCTTTTGATGCGTAGTTTTTGGAAGTAACTCTTTAGGATGCAGGAACGTAGCTTCACATGAAGACGAACTATTATCAACAAACGGGTAGACAGACAAAGCTTGACAATAGGTGCTTAGAGATGTATTTGTGCATAAAACCTATCTAGTTTGGTATCCAACATGTTTGGATTGTCAGTGGTTGACCACTTCTAATAGGATATAGGGTGTTAGGATAGAAGGCAGGGAGAAGCGGGTTGAGCCGAACAGTAGGAGGTAGGGAGCCGAACGGCAGGAGGCAAGGGAATAGAACAATGGGAGACAAGGGGAAACAAGCCGAACGGTAGGAGGCAGGGAAAAGCAAGCCAAACGGTAGAAGATGGTGAAGAGCTTGTAGCAATTAAGATGGACGGGAAATATTTATATTAAATAAAGATATATTCTAGGGAAATATTTATATTAAATAAAGATATATTCTACAGGGAATATTTATATTAAATAAAGATATATTCTACGAGGAATATTTATATTAAATAAAGATATATTCTAAGGAAATATTCAGTATAAGATGGGCGGGAATATTTAATATAAATAGAGCTAGAGTCTATTATTAGGGTTATGCTTTTGATTATTGAATTGACGACTACAATCCTCTGAGGGAGGTTATGCTCCCAACTATCCTTTGTTTAGAGAATTCTATTACCATTAATAAGAGAAATTCATTATTTCATTATCTTTTCTGCCTACTGTGATCGTGGTTAATTAGGTTTCCTACTCAGAAACCTAACAACATCATTTGTGGATACAAAGACTATAAATCATTAATAAGTAACTGGTGGAACAGAAAGAAAGATTAAAAAGAAAGGATGACGTAAATAACAAAACATGCATGTATCCCAAGCCAAAAGCAACAGTTAAGTTTAAAAAATCTCAAGTCTTTCCGCAGCAATATGCGAAAAAAGAAAATTTGAACATAAAGCTTATAAACTAGTGAGTAAATGCTTGGATAGAAAGAGAAGTAGGATAAGGCAGCAGCACAGTTAGGGTAATTATTGACAATGCAGCTACAAACAACAACAAAGCTTTATCCCACTAAGTGAGAACAGCTACATGGGTCACAACATCATTTGGCAATGGTCAAAGACCAAATCTTCAGAATTATTTACCAATGCACTTAGTAAGAAAAACTTTTGTAAGCAATATAAAATCATAAACTTGTAACTTATTGAGTGTTTCAGACGTACTTCATTATTTTCTGACTGATAGGCACTTCTTTGAACCCGTTTCTCAAGTTCTATAAGCTCATTTCGCAGAAGCTCAAAGCGGCGGATTTCATTGGATTCTTGGTCCACAACCCCTACGTTTGGTGCAGGCTGTTCGATATTATTTTCCTTCAATCAAGATAGCAAATCCATGTTACTAAAGTTCCACAAAGTATCCACTCACTAATTGTAACAGACAACTTTTTACAACTAGACTAAATGAAGTACAGGCCAATTCAAGATAGGAATTAATAGGCAATAAAACTCATGCAGAACAAGTTATTTTCACATTGTAAACTTTTAAGTAACAATAGTCAACCACTTTTGCAAGGTCTAAGCAAAAGGTATAAAAAGATTAGTTTATAAATTCTTAAGATAGGCCTTTTGAGGTCAACTTTCACTTCTCCATATGTGACCAGCAGCAGTTTCTTTTTCTGTTTCACTAATCTAACATACAATTGACCAGTAAAATTGAGCTAGTCCCCCATCCTTGAATGGCCTCAGAGGCTCATCCTCAAGTGCCTGAGAGGGGTAGGTTTCATTACGAAGTGCTACACAAGGCTGCTCCATAGATCCAGAAGCAGGATGATAGAAAGGCGTGTGCCTCTGGTGACTCAAGTGCCTTGAGAAAGGGTGGGTTGCAAGATCTATAGAGTGGTTATGTCTCCTTGATGCAGTGAATCAGTTGTGTCAAGCAATTGCAGCAATTTGACCAACTATCCAGACTAATATAATACCTAACAGGTGTCTAGTCTAATGGGGTTTCAACTTTTATCTGTGTTGAATACCTAGTCAATAATTTTAATTGACTATGCTATTTATCACCTAAATATAATCAAACATTATATTTAGACATAACCAGATAGAATCTTTAGTGTGCTACCGATCAAACATTGATTTTTAATTCTCAGTTCAATTATCAAAAGATATTATGATACGACAAGATAAGAGAACTGAAGAACGTATAATAATAATAAATAGTATAACACAATTACAATGAAAATATGCTAATACATTATTTATTACTCATGACAATAAAAGAAAAAGCATTATAGACATTTGAGTTATGTTGCCCCAATGCCACTATAGATACGGAGAGGATATTAACAACATCAAATTATAAATACACTAATGCGTACATAAGGTTCCAGATCAGATTCTAAACCGGGCTTTTTGGTGACAGGACCTCCAAAGATGCTCCAAAATCCCCGCGATTTTCCAACATTTCTGAAGAAAAACCATGTTCTTCTCAAATAAATATAAAAACAGGACAATAAAACACTCGAAAAAAAAAAGTAATAGATGCCAGTTGAGCTCTCAGAAATAGGCAACTAGATATTCATACCTTTTGTTCCTGTCTACCCTTACATTAGCATTCTTTCTGCTTTTCCCTTTCACATACTCGTCTTCTTCAACTGGTGTGTAGTTCCGGCCACTGTTAACCCCCTGAATGAGTATAATAGAAATATTATAACAGTAAAAAAGAAACTCAAAGGAAAAAGTACGTGACTAGTGTACCAGGTAGTCAAGCAACACAATGAACTATTGTACAAAGAAATTGTTACAAGTACAGAAATATGGATCGTATCAGTGTAAGAACAGATATGAAGATCGTATCTTTATAATTAGAAATATCAAGATCATATCTTTATAATTAGAAATATCAAGATCGTATTTGCATCATTAGTGATATTATTTTATTATCACATTTATATATTCTCATGGCCTTCACTATCACAATCCATCAACACTTGTTTGCACATTTGCTATATTTCTAATGATAATTCGTGCACAATTAGGAGATCCCGGGTTGACCAAATTGCAGAAGATGGTGCTTAGTTTATAAAGTTGTCTAGTTTGAATTGTGTTAGGTAAACACATTTGACTGTCTTGTTATAGCATCTTTTGTTATAGCATTCAATTTCCAAACTCCTATTAATATCAACTTCTAAATGTTCATTTTTATCTTCCAAATACATGTTTAATATCATATTGGTTCTCTATTTGTAAGTAAAATGGAAAAATGACCCTTCAATGTCAATCAAAGCCATCAAACCGGTCGATTAGTTCTATTATTCTAATCTTTCAATGAACCAAAAAACAATATAACTGCAATTTAGGAACCAAATCAATGAGTCTTATATGCAACAAATGTAACAAGTGTCAATTACATATTTATAATCCTAACTTCTATAATTGGACCACTCACTAGTTAATTTATGGATTTGTTCATAACTATGAACAAATACCAACAAACAATACATATACAATATTATAAAAAATATAACAATATTAAAGGCAAAAAATTTAGCACTAGAAACTAAAATAGTTTTCATCTTTCAGGGTAAGAGGCAAAAGAAATTCTTAAAAAGTAAACATTAAACTTAACTCAATTTCACAAAATAAGTTTAGTAAGGTGAGGTTTATATACACTCATTGTAATTTGATCATATATGTAGTCAATGTTTCGATGTGGGATCTCCTGTACACCTCACTAAGGACTGGATTAGATATTTGTAGGTGGTTTGATAGTGATCTAATAGCAGGTGATAAAATATGCCCAACAAGCTTTGTTAGGATAGGTTCTAATACCATCTTCGAAAGTGGACTTAAATACTCATCCTCACAAAATCGATTTAGTAAAGTAAGATTTACACTTACTTATATGCTATAATGATCTTATCTCTAATCGATGTGTGAGCTCTAACAACATCAACATAAGAGAAAGGACAGTGTTGTAGATTGTGTATTTCCATGATTTACCTCGTATACATTATATCATTATCAAAATTTACTTCCATCATTCTTTTACAAAATTTAAGTAGACATCTTTCCACATTATATGTAATTAGGACTTATTTTCATTTTTGTAGCAATCCGGTTTGTTGGCCAGAATTCTATGATAGTTTTTATCATCGAAGGCTTTCTATATAGCAACCAGCATTGCACAGTTTGGATTATTAGTGTCTGAATGAAGCTAGTTAAAGGTTAGTTTAACAGTTGTCACCAGCCTAAGCAGTTGTATTATAATATCTTATTACATCATTCACAAATTAGAAATTGATATTAAGTTCTTAATCTCTTTTATCTAGTGAAAGTTATGGAAATTAAACTTCAAGGTAAATATCCATTATGTATAGTTTCAAAGAATTGATCAAGGAGGTTAGTGAGGAGTGGACGGTGTACCTCATGAAGAGAATCAGCTTTTGCTCTAAAAGACACCACCAGGAATTCAGCTTCTTTCCAAAGTTTTCGTATTTTCTCCAAGTCAGAACAGGCTGCTTTCAAATGCTCTTTTCCAGAACTAGAGCTTATTGATACATGAAACTCTTCAAGCAACTTTTCAAGTCTTATCACAGCTTCTTCAACACTTTTCAGTGCCTAAAATTATATACCAAATAGAATGCACAAACAAGAATGAGATACATGAAAACAATAGGTTTGAGAACCATCTAAAGTATGAAGCAAGAATATTAATAAAGATATCCCTTTGTATATATTAGTCTGTTTTATAGACAGGACATTGTTGTATACTATTTCCTTTAATAGACAAGAATCAAATTTCATAACTAGGAGACATGATTACTAGTATGTTTTGTACTTATGCATAGGAATCATTGACCCTTAATTACACAAATTCAGAAGGTACTGTCAAAATATGTGAATTTATTACACAATTAATATAGCAATTATGTGTAATCCAGCAATTATGTGTAATCCCTAAAATTAAGGGATTAGGATTAGTAATTATTGGGCAGATTTCATTTTATTAAGATAAGGTATTATTGGGTAGATATCTCCTAATTTAGAGACTTTATTTCAGGAGATTTTTTACCTTAATTAGACAATGGTTTGTTTCTTTTTAAACACCTATGTATTGTTTCAAAAGAATGAACGAGAGAATTATTAATTCCATCATCCTACTTCTGTTTACAACATGGTATCAGAGCTCTAGCTTTTTCCTTAAGCCCTAGTCTTTGTTTCTTGTCTCACGGCCTTCATTTCCGTTCCTCAACTATTGCTTGCCTTCATTGCCATTCTCGTCCAAAACAAGGGGCAGCCTTACTTGCTGCTGTTGTTCTTTCCGCTGTGTTAACCTAACCTCCGATTACACCTCCGATTACAATGTCTGGCACTACATCAAGTAGAGAAGTCTTTAGTTCTTCACACAAAAATGGAGAACTTCAAGGTCTCCGAGTATCATACAGGTTGGATAGAAAAAAATTTCTCAAACGGTCCCAGTTTGTTAGAACCTATCTCAAGGGAAAAGGATGCATGGTTCATCTCCTTGAAAATGGTCCAAGCATGGAGGATCCAGCATTTGCAGCATGGGATGAAAAAGATTCCATGATTATGTCTTGGTTGTGGGACTCCATGGAAGCTATACCATCAGCGATACTTGTATGCTTCTTAATACAACTACAGATATTTGGGACTCCATAAACCACACATATTCTAAAGCCAATGATGCTACCCAAGTATATGAAATCAAAATAAAAATTGCAGGCACAAAACAGGGAAGCAAAGGAATCACAGAATATGCGGCACTGTTGTAGAATCTATGGCAGGAACTTGATCACTATAGAGTTTTTGAATTGATGTGTGTTGAGGATGCAATCCTCTTGAAGAATTTCACAGAGAAGGATCATGTGTATGATTTTCTTGCAGGACTAAATCCTAAATTTGATCAAGTTAGAGTGCAAATTCTTGGGAGAAAGGATACTCCTTCACTAGAAGAAACCATCTCTTTTGTTCGTGCAGAAGAGAGTCGGAGGAGTGTAATGCTTGAGTCTCAACCAATAGATGGGTCTGCTCTACTTACCAAACCTGAACTGGTGCAGAAAGGAAATGAGCAAAATACTAATTCTCTATGGAAAGGAAAAAAAGATAATTTATGATGCACATATAATCAAAAACAGAGACACACAAGGGAGAAATGTTGGAAATTGCATGGCAAACCTCCAGGAAAGGAGTGGGTGAATCGTGGAGGACAACAAAAGTCCCGAGTGCACGTAACTCAAACAAAGATTAAAGAATCTCCACCAGTAGACAGTTTCAATATGGAAGAAATAAAGAAATTGAAGAAGCTATTGGGAATATGGAGGAATCCTCTAGATCATGTTCTCTTGTTTTCTAAGGTAAAACTTCTTGTATGAATACCTCATATAATGTGAACTCTTGGATTGTGGATTCGGGAGCTACAGATCATATGACACATTTATTCCACTTGTTTCATTCTTATACACCCTCACCAAGTAATAGAAAAATTATTGTTGCCAATGGGTTAGTAGCTACTGTTGCAAGATATGGTAATATCCAAGTAAACCCCAACCTTATGCTTAAAAATGTTCTCCATGTTCCCAAACTCTCAGCCAATCTTCTCTCCATAAAGAAACAATCTTCTCTCCATAAAGAAACTAACCTCTGATCTCAATTGTTTTGCAATGTTTTTCCATCTCTATGCGCTTTTCAGGAACAGGACTCGAGGAGGAGGATTGAACTTGCTAAAGAAAAAGATGGTCTTTACTACTTGGAAGTATCTTAAGAATCCCAAACCAACCAAGCAAAATCCCTTCACAGTATAACAAATAAGGATGAACTATGGTTGTATCACTATCGTCTAGGAAATCCATCATTTAAGGTGCTACAATTTATGTTTCCTCATTTGTATGAAAACTTAGATATCTCAAAACTTCATTGTGAAACTTGTGAATTAGCAAAGCAAACTCGTGCATATTTTCCCAACAACAATAATAGAAGCTCTCAACCTTTTCAATTGATTCATAGTGATATATGGGGACAATCTACAATACCAAATATTTCTGAGGCCCGCTGGTTTGTAACATTTATTGATGATTGCACTAGGGTTACTTGGCTCTATTTGCTTAAACAAAAATCTGATGTCAGCACTATCATTCCCATATTTCACTCAATGATTAGAAATTTGGAGTTAATATTAAAAGGTTTAGGACCAATAATGTTAGAGATTATTTCAACCAAACCATATCCTCGTATTTCCAATCTAATTGGATCATCCATGAATCTTCATTTGTTTATACCCCACAAAAAAATGGAGTGGCAGAAAGAAAAAAATGAGCATTTACTCCATAACTCGGGCTCTTCTTTTTCAAGGGAATGTTCCAAAAAATTATTGGGCAGAAGTTGTTCTTACTACATCCTATCTTATTAATAGACTTCCCTCTCATGGCCTAAGTAATAAGAGTCCAATAGAAGTCCTAAATAATTTCTTTCCTCACTTTAATAAATCAAATGGACTGATTCCTAGAATATTTGGATGTACAGCCTTTGCACATGTCCCTGTTCAAGCTAGAGATAAACGCTAGAGATAAACTGGACCCCAGGGCTGTTAAATGTAATTTTTTAGGATATTCAGCCACACAGAAAAGGTATAAATGTTATGATCCTATCATTAAAAAATGGTATATCTCAGCTGATGTTACTTTACTTGAAACTAAACCTTTTTTTAACAAAACCAATCCTACATAACAATGTCTAGAAGACCCTCATGAAAATACTGAGTTCCTAACTCTACCATATATCACAACCAACAGATTTGAGCCTCCAACTATACAACATAATTCTGGACGAGGATCAGAAGCTGAAATGGATACAGATATCCCCATTGAAGCAACTGGAATAGAAGTTGACAATCCTCCGAGATTTAACAAGGTTTACACCAGGAGAAAGAAAATTCCAGAGGTGATGCAAGCCCATGAATCCAATCCAAGTTCTTCACCAGAAAATGAAGAAATACCTGAACTAGAAAATAAGATTGACCTTCCAATAGCCAGCCGAATAGGTACTAGAAATTGCACTAAAAAACCTCTTTATCCTCTTACAAATTATGTTTCTTATGATATCAACTAACCATAAAAGCTTTATTGTAAACTTGAATTTTGTGGTTATACCAAATAATATTATTGAAGCACTAGCAAAGAAAGAATGGAGATATGCTATGCAAGTGGAAATGACAGCACTAGAGAAGAATAACACTTGGGAAATTGTGGATAAACCCAAAGAAAAGAAAATTGTTGACTGTAAGTGGATATTCACAGTAAAATATAATGTTGATGACTCACTTGAACGATACAAAGCAAGATTGGTGGCCAAAGGATACACTCAAGCATATGGAATAGACTATGAAGAAACGTTTGCACCAGTTGCTAAAACGAATACTCTAAGGATTCTTCTATCCTTAGCTGCTCATTTTGATTGGAAACTACTACAGTATGATGTTAAAAATGCCTTTCTTCATGGAGACCTAGAGGAAGAAATCTACATGAATATCCCAGAGGGGGTTGAAGGAGATAGACAAAATAAGGTGTGCAGACTTAAGAAGGCACTGTATGGACTGAAACAATCTCCTAGAAAATGGTTTGGGAGGTTCTCAAAAGTGATGATGGGATTTGGCTACAAACAAAGCCAAGGAGACCACACATTGGTCGTAAAACATTCAGAAAAGGGGAAGGTAACAATTCTTTTGGTGTATGTGGATGATATTATAGTAACTAGGAATGATGAAAAAGAAAAGCAAAAATTGAAACAAAGACTAGTCTAAGAATTTGATCTCAAAGAGCTTGGAAAACTGAAATATTTTCTAGGAATTGAAGTAGCATACTCTACCATGGAATCTTTATATCCCAACAAAAATACATAACCGATTTGTTGGCTGAGACAAAGACTATTGGATGCAGACCCACAACAAATCCAATGGACCCCAATCACAAACTGAGTAAATCTGGAGATGAACCAGAAGTAGAAAAAAGGATGTACCAGAGGCTATTCAAAAAATTAATATATTTGGCACATACCCAACCAGATATTGCTCATTCGGTAAGTGTAAGAAGTCAATTTATGCATGAACCAAAGGAGTCTCACCTTCGGTATGTGAATTATTATGGATAAAATTATTTTGGATGATTTGAAAGTTGATTTGAAGGGTCCCATGAAACTGTACTGTGATAATAAATCAGCAACAAAAATTGCACATAATCAGGTTCAACATGACCGAACAACACGTTGAAATAGATAGACACTTCATCAAAGAAAAAGTAGACGAAGGTTTAATATGCATGGCATATGTCCCATCTAGGCAACAAGTAGCTTATGTGTTAACAAAAGGTCTCAATAGCCCTATCTTCCAAGATCTTATAAGCAGCTGATGTGTTAACAAAAGGTCTCAATAGCCCTATCTTCCAAGATCTTATAAGCAAGCTCGGAATGACCAATATCTATTCCTCAGCTTGAGGGGGGTGTCAGAATATGTGAATTTATTACACAATTAATATAGAAATTATGTGTAATCCCGCAATTATATGTAATCCCTAAAATTAAGGGATTAGAATTAGTAATTATTGGGC